CCCTATCTCAGAAAACTTTTCAAGAACGCCCCATTTCAGAATTTTATTGAAAAACCCCCTACCTCAGAATTTGGCTGATGAATGCCCTATCTCAGAATTCGGTTCAAAACCGCCCTATCTCAGCTGAAAATACATTGAAAATATGCTGAGAAAGGGCGTTTTTGAATGGGCAGCTCAGATAGGGCGTTCTTCAACCAAATTCTGAGATAGGGTGTTTTTCAATATAATTCTCAATCAAATTCTGAAGTAGGGCGTTCTTGAAAAGTTTTCTACCGAGAAAGGTCGACCTTCCACTCAGGTGTCGAATTAAACGAGTTCCTACATAAAACAAGAACGTTAACAATACATATAAACACTTACATATTGCTGTGGAAAACCATTACATTAGAAAGCTTATTTGATTTTAAAAGCGTTCTACGCCAGTTTAATATCTGTCCTGCCCAAGACAAAATCGTTTTTATTTTGTAACACCCATAAGGCCTACATTACAATCCAAATCTTCTACGCGTTTTTACTCGAATTCAAGTTTTTCGTCATCGGGGTTATTGCTTATGACCACAGAAATATCGCCCATTTCTAAGTTTTCTTGATAAATTATTTGTAAAGAAATTGTATCAAAATTTTTATCTAGTGAAAGCTCCCATCGCATTCTGTGTCAATATTTATAAAATAAAAAGCTCTACAATTTCGAAATGAATGGAACTGATTTCATTGTGATATTAAAACATAAATTTAAAAGAAAAAGAGCTTTTAACTGCCATAGCCGAGTAGGTAGAGATTATGTATATTTCACCAACGAGGTTATATTATATAAATCGATATACTGAAAGTGTGCAGACATGCCGCAACTTTTTTTTACAGAATGACACTATAAGGTCCAAGGTATATGTAAATGATTACACTTTTGCTTGATCGCACCTACTTCTCAACTATATGTCTACGTATATAGCCAAAAACCTCTTATTGTTAGACTTACGATAAAAAATAAAATAAAATACTTAGAACCATAGTAAAAGAAGACTAAAATCAATTTGTATTGCCTAAATACCTGAACAAGAAGGCTCCGTTGCCGTTTTTGATATATCTTTAAAGAACGCTCAGATATAGCTTGGAAATTTGAAATATTAAGTCACGTTTTTCACTTCGCGCGCACTCAAAGGAAAAAGTGGCGCCTTTAAGAGTATATTGCAAGAAAACGGTAAATTTTTGGGCAAATATTTGATTGCATACTGATGTAGAATTTTATCTACTGTCTCTTAGTACTAAACCCTTCTTTGTATTTTGAAATTCATTTTTTGAATAAATACGCAATATCGACATCAATTACTCCACTGTGCGCTGTACGCGAACATATAAATAATGCGTTTATTGGAAATTTTGTCCTCTACAAAATTCGAAAAAACCGCGCCGCTTACCTAATTTTGGGCATTTTTTGCATATTATTAGCAATAAATAGTTGTTTAAAAAATTATAGGCACATGAGTATTGTAGGGAATCGAATTCTCTACAAATTTGTTCTCTACCTTTTTCCGAGAGAAATGCAAAATTCGCGCGCAAATCGTAAAAAACACAAAATCCAAGATGGCGGACATTTCCCATATCGCAATTAGGGGAAAAATTTTCATTTTGTGTTCACCTAAACAGGAAACACCTAACTGCGTCAAAAAATTTCTTCCTGGAATTTTTTTCTTCTTACGTCGATTTTATTCTAAATTGATCGGGCTATGACCGATCTCAACCAAATTTGGCATACGCATTGCGCTTAGCCTCCTTAAGTACTATCTTGAATATTTTTTAAATCGGAAAACACCTACTCCACCTGAGATATAGCCCGTGGTTTTTGTCCGATTTCAAAAATTGTCAATATGGCGCTTAAGGAGGCTAAGCATTAGGGGGGTCCAAAAACAGTAAAGTCGGAATTGTAATGCTTTCATCCCCTAGGATTGTTCTATATCGAAAAAAAAGTATACCCCTCTTTTTTTTTTTTTGAAATCAAAATATATTTAGAGGTCGCTCAAAGCGCTCAAAGTTTTCCACGTACTTTTATATGGGCAAAATAAATTATTTCGTAGAAATGGTATAGAATTCTTGAAAGTCAATATTTTTCGATCGGGAAACTCTGGTTCTCTTCAGGAGACTTTCAATAATAACACCCAATTGTTTATTTAACCATTTTTTAATACAAACGATTTTTTATTGGTCGCCCCATTGCATTTTTCGGGGTTTTTGTGGGTTTTTGGCGAACCTATAAAATATAGTTGCAATAAAAAAATGGTTAAATAAATAATTGGCAAGTATTATTTGGAATCTCCTTCAGATAAACAGAGTTTTCTGGTAAAAAAATATTGATTTTTAACTATTCTATACCATTTCTACGAAAATTTGTTTTTTCCATATAAAATACATGGAAAGCTTTGGGTGCTTTGAGCGACCTATAAATATTGTTTGATTTCAAAATAAAAAAATAAGGGTATATTTTTTTCGTTATAGAACAATCCTGCATTTTTGGATCACCCTACTGAGCATACTGTGTATACCAAATTTGGTCGAGATCGGTCAAGTAATTTTTGAGATACGCATTTATTATATATGTGGTGGGCGGTGTCAGCCCTAAAATTCCTAAAATTTCTTGAAAAACCACTTTACCATACACAATATAAATTCTAGGTCGTATTTAAGAAAAGTCGCCTAACTTCGACAATTTTTATGCTTTTGCAATAAATGAGCTATCAGTTTATTTAAAATTTATATTTTATTTTAGAAAGTACTACACATTTTGAAATTGAGAAAATTATCGATGGTTATAATTTAAAAAATTAAGAGAAATATTTTTTTGTTTTTATTTTACCCGATAAAAAATCCCAACAAGCGAAGTCCGACAATAGATTATTATATACCATTTTAAAGGCCTATATATCCTCTTCTCAGATCATATTCGATCTTTGAAATCGAATTAAAAGTAGTCATTCAAAAACTCATAAATCTACAAAATCGTATTTTCTGACCTAAATCGACAGGTCGCCCTTTAAAAAATCTATAAAAATAGGCAATAAGTTTTTCTCATCAAACCGAATAAAATTAGGAGGTGGGGTCCTGAAATTTCTAATTTCTCTAATATACATATATATATGTATTCTTTATTTAAATACATATGTATACATATCGTCACCTTAATTGACACACGCCCTAACCAACACTTTTTTCAAAACTGCGTTTTTCACAGATCTTGGTAGGATGTATTAAAGTACAGTGTCAATAAAAATTTTTAAGTGTTAGTACCAAAAACAACAGAGTTACGTGCCACTTTCTAAATTTGATACTCTTTTTATAATGTGAAACAAAGAAATTGTTGGTAAGGGCCTTTTTGAATTAAGGTAACAACGATATGTAATTCATTTTTTGTGAAAACCGTATCTATGAATCCAAGTTTAAAACTTTGAGCAATATTTAATTTAATTTTTGCGGCCGCTGTGGTGTAGTGGTAGGCAGTGCGCGCTTCCACTCCGCAGCGCCTTGGTTCAAGCCCTGGTCAAAGCAACATCGCAAAAAAAATTTAGAAAAAAGGTTTTTTCTTAACAGCGGTCGGCTCTCGGCAGGCAATGGCAAACCTCCGAGTGTATTTGTGCCATGAAAAACAGCTTCTCATAAAAATACAATCGCCGTTCGGAGTCGGCGTAAAACTGTAGGTCCCTCCCCTTTGTGTGACAACATCAAGGCGGACGCCACAAATCGGAGGAGAAGCTCAGCCAAACACTAACATATGTGTAAGCGCCAATCTATTATTATTATTAATATTTAAAACAAAATTCAAAAACTTTCGTAAAAATTTCAATAATGTTCAACACTGTTAGAAAAAAAATTGTTAAATTGGAGCGCCATCTTGCACCAATTTTTGTGTTGCGCTTTGCATGCCCTAGCATTTTTGGAAAACCGAATAAGAGAATTGCAAATATCAATAAAATTAATGACATTGTTGAAAAGGTAAACTATATATCGATTGCTGAGTGGAAGATCGACCTATCTCGGCAGCCAGTTCGAAAACGGCCTATCTCAGAAAATTATTCAACAGCGCTCTTGCTCAAAAAACTTTTCAAGAACGCCCCACTTTAGAATTTCATTGAAAAACGCCTTATCTCACAATATGGTTGAAGAACGCCCTATCTCAGCTTATTTTCAATGTATTTTCGTTTGAGATAGGGCGTTTTTGAACCGAATTCTGAGATAGGGTGTTTTCAATAAAACTCTAGGTCGATAGGTCGATCTTCCACTCAGCCACCGATATATATGATATGACGAATAATGAAGAGTGGAAAAAAGTATTTCAAAATACAAAGTACAAATACATGTTTTGTATTTTGTTTGTGTATTTTAAATACTTGTATTTGAAATACTTAACATCTCTGGGCAAAAGCACAAGTGCATTTCTTCCATGAAAAAACTTCTCATAACTTAATACCAAGCCACACTTAGAGCCGGTTCTTCAAAGTCTGGTATCACTATCTCCCAGTTAAACATAATTATGTTAATAATCGACGATTTCGACATCATGCATATAACATGTGATCGATAAAGTAGTCGTTGTATTTAACCGGAGCTTCTACCTCCGATTTGTGTTAACCAGACATTGAACAACCGGCCCTTACTAAACATGTCGCACACCGTCTTCAAAAGCGTCGCAACTCAAAATTACACGTGCGTCAGAAAATGCGAAAAACTATTTCTAAGCACATGATAATCATATGGGCTAAGGTGACTTTACCTTAGGTTTTTTTTAAACAAATTATAACAAAAATTTGCTCCAGCTTTTGCTAAAAGGTAAATAAAAGGTCTTTGTAAATTTTTAAGTTGTGACTCTTTTGAAGACGGTGTCCAATGTGTGCGCTAAAAATGTATTATATTTTATTTATGACCGCAATGTTTTAGATTAGGGAGCGCAATTTGTCTACTGCTTCGGTTTTTTTTTTATAAAAGTCACGCAGTCATGGCAATTTTAATAGCTGTATTAATTGCAGTTGATAAACATTTTAAAAATATAAATCATATTATTGAATTTTCTTATCCACAATTTATAATCGAATAAGTTAATAATTGGACGTTGTTACATGCTAAAACTAGTAGGACAACTGAGTTATCTATTAAAAATATAGAGTTAATTACTAAAAATGTGAACACACGTACATATGTATGTATGTATACATATGTATACACATTCTATGTACCAGGGATGTTGCGAATATATGCATTCGCATTCGTTATGCGAATGATTCTCATCATTTTACACATTCGCATTCGACATTCGCATCACCCTAATATTGTCGAAATGGCTCTAACAGCCCGATTCTGTGCACTTGATAAATACAACACTTCTATAATTTGTAAGTTTTTTATTATTTATCAAGAATTGAAATTCTAACACAGAAATCAAGGTATTGGCCCAATGCACGCTTGCTTTGCTTGCTTTGCTTACTTTAGTTTGCTTTGCTTTACTTTGAAGGAAGTGAAGTAAAGCTGCCACTAGGCCAACTTTCATACATTTTAGTAGATTTTAAAAATTGTTTGACAGTTCTCAAAGCCAAGCAAGCAAAGCAAGCGTGCATTGGGCCAATACCTTCAGAAGCTCTTTTCTTGATTTGATAAATGATCAAGATTGGAAATGCTACTGACAAGTGTTTACAACTTGAAATTTCATATGAAAATTATAAATTTTGTTTATTAAACAATTTGTTTCTATCATTTAAACACTGCGCCTGCGACACACAGAATTTATAGCCGACATCTCTACCTACTCGGCTACGGCAGTCAAAAGCTGTTTTGCTTTTAAATTCATATTTTTCATATGTGACAATGAAATCAGTTCCCCTCTTGTGGAAATCGTAGAGTTTTTTATTTAATAAATATTGACACAGAATGCGATGGGAGCTTTTACTTGATAAAAAACTTGAAAAAATTTCTTTACATATAATTAATCAAGAAAACACAGAATTGGGCGGTAAGTCTGTCTAATCAGGGTGCGGACAATAACCGGCTTTTAGCTTCGGCGCTAAACGGTTAAGTAGTATATCAAGCAACATTGATGGGCATACAACAAGTACTGCTAAAAGTCTTATAAGCAACCTAGATATAATTTATATTCCTCCAGCGAAAGCGAAGGATGTAGAATCTGGAAACATTAAAAAATGTTCACATTTAAAGCTCAATTGAATGCTTATCTTAAAGAAAAACGAGCTCATCTCGATGAAAATCCTCTCGATTGGTTTAAAACTAAACCGAAATACGACAAATTGACAGATCTGGCCCGCAAATATTTGAGCGCTCCACCCGCCAGCGTTCCAAGTGAGCAATTGTTCAGTGCAGCCGGCCATATATACGAGCCTCTAAGAAATCGCCTCATGGGAGAAAAAGCAGCAAAATTACTTATTTAAAATATAATATGCCCCTTTTAAACTTCGACTACTACATGCATAGGTTAAGCACTCGTTCAATGTTCTAATAATTTAAAAAAAATTTTAGTAATAAAAACGATGACTAAGTTGATTATAATGATTGATTTAATGTTATTCCCTATATTTACATTCGCATCCCGAACATTCCCATTCGCATTCGCACTCGCGAATGTGAAAAATATGACATTCGAAACATCCCTAGTATGTACATATGTACACGCTCGGAATGTTAATCTCGGGATCCCGGACTTTTTAAGGTCTCAAAAATCCCGGGATTCATGGCAAGTAATCCCAGGATTTTCGGGATTTGAAATTTTCACTGATGGCAATAATATAAACTCCTTTTCTTGACCAGTATTGGCTATATTTCTGTTTTTATTTAATAATTAATATTTTTATAAACGTGTAGCTCATTATACATATAAGGGGCTGTCCATAAATTACGTAAGGGAGTTTTCGCCTGTTTTGAACTCCCCTCACGTAATAAATTGTAAGATTTAATTAATCCCCCTCCCCCGCTGCAGATCTTACGTAAGGTTAAAAATCCCCTAGACATGTTTTTTCAATTAAACATTAGAAAATATTTACTATATAATTCCATCAAACAAATTTAGGATGTATGCCTAGTAAGTCTTAAAAACTTCATTACATAGTTATACTAGTCATTCTTTGTTGTCGGTTTCTTTGGCCCACGGTCCAGCCAGCCAATCTGAAAGAGGAGTAGCCACAGGGATAACTCGTACTTCTTTTTCACTCAAAGGTATTTCATTTTCACAGTGCACTGAAATTTCTTCTTGATTCACCCACTCAACAATATCCTCTGTTTCATTTTCTGTGATGACACACAATAGCTCTCGCCCGCGTCGTGAAATTATCCTCTTTGCTCTTCGACGCTGAGGCTCAGAAAAGATCAAGTGAAGCTTTTTGTGAATGCTTAGGGGCTGTCCATATATTACGTAAGGGAGTTTTCGCCTGTTTGTGTTCGAGCTGCATTTTTCGGTTATAATAGACACCGAAGAGTAACGTTTTTTTTTAGAAAAATAGAAATATTAAAGCAAAAGTTGTAAAAAATTGTAATATCCTCCGTATTTAATGTATATTTTTCATTTCAATGCAATTTAGTACTTTAATTTTATTTTATAAAGAACAATTTTGAATAAGAATACAAGAAAAATAATATTACGTAAGAATCTACGGGACGCCCCCTCCCCCCATAAAAGAAAAAGTAAGAAAATTCTAGACCCGCACTCCCCCACAAAGGTCTTACGTAATATATGGACAGCCCCTAACACCGCACGATAGTAAATTTTATACACAAATATAAATATATTCGCGAAACCATGGACCAAATATAGTAAAATTGCATTTTTAGTTTTTCACTTTGACGTCAGTAATTCAAAAATTATTTAAAAAATTCAGAGAAATGTGCTAAGAGAAGAAGTATGGCTATAAAATTAATGAGGAGAGCCTGTAGAATTTAAATAGATCCAAGTTTCTGGTGGAGAAGGGCTGGTAAATATTGAAAATATCATTTTGAAATTTCATCCTTGAAATTTGGCAATATTTGTTTTTGAAAAAATTATATGTTAAGGGCTTATAAAAACTCGATAGCATCCTCGAATTTCGTTCTTCTAACTTTGTCAGGTAAAAAATTACCTATTCGTTTTTGTGAATCCAAAAAATTTAAATTTTTTAAATTCTAAAGAAATTTCGTATTGCATTTGTTACCCATATTTTTTATTCTAAATNGAAATTTGGCAATATTTGTTTTTGAAAAAATTATATGTTAAGGGCTTATATAAACTCGATAGCATCCTCGAATTTCGTTCTTCTAACTTTGTCAGGTAAAAAATTACCTATTCGTTTTTGTGAGTCCAAAAAATTTAAATTTTTTAAGTTCTAAAGAAATTTCGTATTGCATTTGTTACCCATATTTTTTATTCTAAATTGCATTGAATTTTTTAAATAATTTTTGGGATTAGTCATATCTTTGAAATTACAAAGTCCTTCAAAATAAATCCAGCAGTCACAGANTTTGGGATTAGTCATATCTTTGAAATTACAAAGTCCTTCAAAATAAATCCAGCAGTCACAGAAAAAAAATAAAAACGCCACTTTAAATAAAAAAGTAGGTTTCAAACCCATTTATTTATTATGTATTTCATGGTAGGAGAGCTTCTCAAACAGCATAGAAGCAATTTTTTCGATTCAAGTTGTTGAAAAGTAATGAATATCTAAATCCCGGGACTAATCCCGGAATCCCGGGATTGCGACAACGCCTTCCCGAAAATCCCGGGATCGGAAAAAGCCGAAAAATTAACATCCCTAGTACACGCATAAGTATGTTTGTGTGTATATGTGGCTAATAAAATATTGCAGTTTTTTTCCAATCAAGTCAATTAACAACGCCATAATATACATGTGTACAAACGTTCTGCCTTCTCGGGATTAGATAGTAGGGACGGAAAATAATCATTATTTTTTAATGGATTAATTATCGATAGCAATCAAACGTCAGTTGCGTTGCTAGTTGCCGAAACGATTTTACAGATGGCAACTGGCAACTCTCAACTGGCAACTGCAGTTGCCGCAAAGTGTGTATTCAGGCAACTACATTTTGATGGTTGCTGGAAAGGTTCTTGAGCATATTTAGTAACGAAAATTGAAAACACTGTCAAATATTTTAGTTTTTAATAGTTTCAACGATATTAACATTTTGCAATGTAGTTTGCATTTACAGAATATTGTAAAAATAACAACAAAACAATAACTTGAAATTTTAGTCTCGTGGAGTACGCGCTTTTGGTAAAACAAAAGCGAACACTGATTGAAAATTTGTTCCTCTATCAATTCAGGCACCTCTTTCAAAACTACCGACATATTCAAAATTGAAGTCATCGCCGTGGGACTTCCTTTTGCGAAATATCTAAGAGCTGCGGAAGCATTTAAGGAGCGGAGGTATTGAAGTTGAACGAATTCGTTCTTCTGTATATTATCTAGGGATGTCGGGAAAGCATTGAAAATATCGATATTTTGATTCGATGCATCAGATATTTTCCACTCGATGTATAAATAGTCGATGTATCGATACATCGATGTTTTTTGAAAACTGACATCTCTAGCACATCGAACAGTCATTGCAGTTTTTCAATTGTGCAAAAAAGAGAAATGAGTTTGAAGTGAAAATTAAAATGGCTCCATAAAATTCCGTTGGAAACATAATTGGTTCAATTACGGTAATTAATTTGAAATTTTGTACTCTTTTGGTAACGGGATATTTTGCTGTTAAATGATATCTGAAAAGTCCTATGCAATTCGATACATTTCCATGAATTGAGTTGAAGAAATACATCGATGTGTTTTTACCATTAACATCCCTAGTATTAAACATCATGCTACAGCTTCTTTTGGAAGTTTGGAATATGCTTTCCATCTAAACAGAAACAGATAATAAATGAAAAACCTTCAAAGCATTAACTGTTGCTTACAGTGCAGGAAGTAGCTCTAGAGTCTAGACGATTGGAATTATCCCTTAAATGTCGGCTGGTTCATGCGCTACTCCCCCTCT